GATTTATTATGGATATATTTTGATGGATAGTAAATGTAATAAATGTGATGTATGTAACGAATGGAGAAACCCTTTTGAAAAAAATTCAATTATTTGTCATCAATGTTTTGGACTTTATGAGAAAAAGCCTTACGTGGAATATTTACAAATTTGTCAAAGTTGTATTAAAGTATATAAGAAATGTAGTGAATGTTGTAAATGGAGTAAACCATCTAAAGAAGATCCATGGATTTGTCAAGTCTGTAATAATTTATATAATTCAAGTAAAAACCGAGTTATTGATGATTTTATTAGAGATACGCAAATTAATTGTAACAATCAAACTGCGGAAATGGAGTTCATTCCTTATAATCAATTAGAAAATGTTGAGTTTCTTGCTAAAGGAGGATTCAGCAAAATTTATAAAGCCAATTGGATTGATGGTCCAATTGAACATGGTAAACTACATTTTGAACGGAAAGGTTCTACAACTATTGCTCTCAAAAAACTCAATAATACTAAAAATATATCTTCTACGGAGTTAAATGAGGTAATATTTATTTTTATTTAATAATAATATAATACGTTAATCATTTATTTTAATTTTTTTTATAATTTCAGCTAAAAGTATATTTTAATCTGAATTTAAACTGTGGATTATATAGTTCTTTTCATATAAATAAATATTATGGAATTACCCTTGATCCTATTACGGGAGATTTAATTTTTATTATGGATTATTATGAATCAGGTGATTTGTATCATTACATCGCAAAAAACTTTTTTAATATTGAATGGATTAAAAAGTTAGAAATGTTGGACGATATTATAGGAGGACTTTATCATGTTCATAATCAAAATTTTATTCATCGAGATTTACATAGCGGTAATATACTTTGCAGTAATTCTACTAGCAAGCATCCTGTGGTAATAAGCGATTTAGGAATAAGTAAGTCTTCAACTGACTTAACAGATAATGATAATATTTATGGAATAATTCCTTATATTGCTCCTGAGATTTTTCTAGGACAAAAATATACTACAGCAACGGATATCTATAGTTTTGGCATGATTATGTGGGAGTTAATGATAGGTAGAAAGCCATTTTGGGATAAAGATCATGATACTGGACTTATTATTGAAATATGTGATGGTTTACGTCCTCCAATTATCACAGATGCACCTGAGGGTTATATTAGTTTAATGCAAAGTTGTTGGCATTCTGACCCAAACAAAAGGCCAACGGCTGCTGCTTTAAAGCAAAATTTAAATATTATTAAAGATATCGAATGGGATAATGTAATAGACTATAATAAAGCAACAAAAATCATAGAATCATTAGAGATTGGACCTATTACGATAAATAATCAGAAGGCAATTTATAAGAGTAGATCACTAGGAGAAATGATAAAATCTGCGATGTTTGCAAGAAATTTAAGCAGTCAATCTATTAATTCAGAATTGGGTAATTATTATCTAATTGACGTATAATCTTTTTGTTGAATTCAATAATTAAAATGTTGTATTAAATGTCTAGATCCATTTGATTATTACCAAAAAAATCATCAATTTTCTAATGATAATTTGTAATTAACTAATATTTATCTTAATTACTAGTATTAATATATATATTTTTTTTTAAAAAAAATAAAAAGGCAAAAGAAAATTAGATGAAGATAACAAAAGTGTTAAAAGTAGTAAATTATTTGAAGATAAAAATAGTGGTAAATATTTCGTACATTTAAATTAAATTAAATAAAATATAAATTTAACACTAATATTATGTTATATTGAAACGAATTTAATTAGATTATATATCAAAGGAACTAAAACTGGATATTAATGAATGTGGTAAGCAGCTATGATATTATAAATATGTAAGATTTTATTTATAAACTAAATGTTCTATGTGTTTTTAGAATATATTACCAAGGAAATTGATTTTGACGTCAATACTCTTTGAAAATGTTAGAATTATTTTTTAGAATAATATTCACGTGATATTACTATATAAAAAAGAACATTTATAAATATTATCGTTATTATTAAGATAAACAGTATTAAATGTATTTGTTTTAAGAATGGGATCAAATGGTATTGAAAAATTGTCTCTCGTTGTTTGATTTCGAATTCTTTTGTGCAGAATCGTTTGCAATTCTAAAATATTTGAATTATAAAGTAAAAAAGTTGATTTCTTGAACCAGTTTTTTGTGCTTTATTAAATGGGAGGTTTGCTATTAAAATCGAGTTACGAACATAGTAATCCGTAAGGTGACTTTAATAGCTTACCTCCCAAATAATGGTCTTTTTTGATATACTGCTTGTATCAGAACGATTCACATTTTTTATTTTGCTTTGATTCACATAAAAACAAAAGATTGCATTTATAAACAAAATCCGATATAACAATCCTTCTGGTGTAGATTTATCTAAACGAGAGTGAGTTAAAATTCATTAGGGGCAGCAGCTCTTCTTTCACCTAATCTCTGTCTTGCGAAGTTTTTAAAATTTTCAGTAATTACTTCGCTTGATCTAATATATTAACTCGATGATTTTACAAAATTTCAAACAAATGTCGTGCATTTGCAATTTCTTCAACTTTTTCATTTATCATTTCAAAATCGTTCTAACTGTATAACTCAATTATTAGTTGCTTTATTAGTTGAAATACAACAGCTAAAATTTATAATTTCTTGTATATTATTATTGCTAGGTGCACCTGTCAGGCGGTCTTACTTTGGATCGTTTTTATTTTTTTTAGGTGGGGTTGGAAAAGCTGCGGACCGTAGAAATCGAGTTTTTTTTTTTGTTTCTTTTTATTGTTTTGCTTTCACTCACAGGTATTTTTTATTTAGTTTCATATTTTTTTTATTTTTTATTTTTCGGTTCGATCGGTTCGATCTAATATTTTCATTTTTTCGTGGATGGACAAATTCAATTTATATATTTTTTTTTATTGCTTCTCATTATTTATTTAATATTAATTTTTATATTTCAAATCAACCAATCAAAAGAAATTATTATGCTATACAGTATAAACCTAATAATAAAAAGCAGAACTGCCATATCACTGGAATTATATTATTTTTCTGTTTGAACCCAAAAGACCCGAGAGACTAAAAAAAAAATAATTTAATAAATAAATCAAATTCAGTAATTATTAATTTTCAGTAATAATTAAATAATAAAAATAATAAAAAAAAAAATCAATAAAAAAAAATAAACAAAAATGATTTACCTTACCAAATTGACGGTTAAAGAAAATAAATTATTTGATCAACTAATACATACAGTACGAAGAAAAAAAAACCTTGGGAAATAAAAAAAAGGAAAATTAATTTAGAAGGTAAAAATTATATTTATCATTTTATTCTCGATCTAAATTAAAAGCAAATTTTTCGGAAATACAAAATTTTGATTTTGCTTGAACCGCAAAGACAAGTTTTTTTTTTTAATTATTCCCCCCTTTTTTATTTAATTACTTAGATTACTATCAACTTGTTTTTTTTTATTTTGATCCTACAAAATCATCGGCGATCATATAATAGACCTATAGTTGCTTTCCATACCACATACTATAGAATCCCATCCCATCCCAAAATATGATGATAAAGCTTTGGTTTAAGGAATGGGATTTGGGATGGGATGGGATGGGATTGGGATTTTATCCCATACCCATATAGTATGGGTAACAAGTATAATTCAACTTAAGATATCATATATAGCAGTTTCCATTGATAAATTGGTAAAAATAAGTTTAATTTGTTTTGAACCTTGAGGTAAATAATATTTAACACCAGTCGCCATAACACCACTGTTTGAGAAAGGATGTGATTGTTAAATCTACTCTTTTGGCTTTCAGGGATAGTGATGAATCGTCAAAGGATTCGAAAAATTTTATTAATTGTTATAATTACAGAAATAATCATATGATCATCTGAAAAAGTTTTCTTATAGGTGATGGAATTTTTCAGATAATTCTGATTTATGCATTTCAAATAATCAAAAATTCAAAATGTTTTATATATCGTCTATCAGCTAAAATGTGTGGTAAAATGAAAATTAGAATTATGAGAAAAATTACTAAAGATCCATGAAATCATAAGTAGAAGCTACCATCCTCTAAAATCTCAATCAAAATCGGATAATTTTTACCTTAATAGGAATGAATCCATATAAAACTTTGGCTAAAAATTCGGTAGAATTAATAAACGCCAAATAGCTTTCTTTCCTCAGGTGATTTTCTTATCATATCTCCAATAATTTTATAAACTATATTATTTAAATTTGGTATCTTTACTTTTATATACTGTGACAATAATAATTAATTATACAAAAAGAAAATCGTTAATTACCTTCATCATTTATTTTCTTTATCCACGTATGTTTTCTTTCAAAATACTGATCAAAAGCATTTTCAATAATTTGTATTTGCCTCATTGAAGAAGAATCCTGAAAAGCTTTATAATTACCATAAAATTTATTCTTCATAGGGAGTAGAGGTTGGAACCGGTTAATTTTTAACTGGCCAATGGATAACACGTTAACCGGTCAATTAACCGGTTAACGAATAATTTAACCGGTTATTTTACCGGTTAAAGATTTTTAGGTCGGTTCCAACCTCTACTAGGGAGGAATAGTCATGGAATATGGTTTGTTTTCCATATTTACTTAATATCTCTGGAGAAACTATATATTGAATAAATTAATACCAATTTTTTGAATATAATTAATAATTCAAATAAATCTTGCATACAATAAGTTTTCATTCCACCATCCTGGAATAATTTTTTCGGCTTCCTTGTAAATTCCAAAGTCACATAGGATTACATTAAAGGGAGTTACCGATAGATCTACTAGAATTTTGAATCTCTATATACAAGTCCTTTTTCATGAAATTCCTACGAAAAAAAAAGGGATTAAGTCTATTGGTTATTACATTTAATGTGGAATTAAAATACTCAATTTGTTGAATACGTTATAAAATTACCTTTATTGGTATTTCGTCTTCATCCTGACTTTGTATTGTGAAAACTTTACTACTACTTGCGTCAATAGTTATTTCATCATCTTTTCATATAACAAAAAAGTCATTACTTTAGAGGAATGTAAAAGATATACAAATAAAACTCTATATTTACCAATACGCTTCCACAGTAACATTCCCAAAGAAGAATTTGACTAAATTATTAAATTTAAAATAAAAATTATTTTAATCATGCAGGAATTTTATTTATTAAAGAACTTTACATGTAAGAAATTGGTAAGATGTAATTTAATGATAATACACTCACATTTCGCAGTAAATTCATCAAGTTGTATTAGGAGTAGGCAGTCTTCAAAAATGACGGTTTTATCACCAGCATTATTTAAAATTAAATTTTCTCCTTTCGGATTGATGTAATATATACGTTTCCATTGTTAAATATTAAGTATTTGGGAGGTTAACTATTAAAATCACATTACGGATCATATGATTTATTATGTTCGTAACTCGATTTTAATAGTAAACTTCCCATATTTTTGTGAGCTTCATTCCGTGTTCGTTCTAAATCAAAGATGAAAAATCAATTCTATTGATACGATGCGATGTGATACTTAGTGAAATTAATGGATTAAAGCAATCTCACCTTAGATAACCTACAATGAAGTTCATAATCGCTTTGCATATGTTGGTACTAAGGACGTGTAAAATAAAGTAAGTTTTATATCAACTTGTTTTATTTTTTTTTTTTATAAGACATACACTTTTGGGTTTCGTTCTTTCCGAAATTTGTAGAGCATACCCAAATATTTGTCACGAATATTCAACTTGCAGCCGTCTGAAGTAAAGCATCTTCTAATTTCGGTGTAGAAGCTAAGTCAGAAAAAATTTTTTACATAAAAATTATTTAGAAAATGATTTTAAAAAAAAAGTTTGTTATCACATGATTTACCAATGATCATCAAATTAGATTTCACTAATTTACACCCATCGCTCTGATTGGTCGACAATCTTATTACTCTGATTGGATATTATACGTCACATGACCCACATTACATGTCAATAGTCGTGGTCTAAATTTGTCCGTCACCCAATGTCGTTTTAGAAAAACATTTTTAACGAAAAAAATTTTCAAACCCTAAACCACCCTAATCCTAATCTAATCTTAATCCTAGCTTTTAACCTTACCCTAATTCTAATCCTAATCCTAACCCTAACCCTAAGTAACTCCTATCTTGCGCAAAAGAATCCAATGAGAAAGCTCCTATCTTATGCAAAAAATCCAATGTGAAATCCTATCTTATGTAAAAAAATTAAAAAAATCAAACGTGTGATATATATAAAACTAGGCTAATGGGAACGGTTATGTTTCCGGAGCTAAGGAACTTTAAAATATAATTATTAATGCAATAAGAAAGAGAAAAAAAAGCTCAATTGACAAAAATCACGTGCCGGACAGACGGATATGTCGATCCTTTTGACATGAACTAAAAAGTCCTTCGCTACGCTCCGGACAATAAATGTTTACAAAATATTATCTGTAATTTTAAAGTTAAATAATAAATTTTAATTCATAAAGTACACTTTATTATTATAATTTAACAAATCATAATTTGGATATAATTGCAAATATACAATTATACAATATAAGCAAATAATTATATTCTAATACAAACGATGAAATTAGAGAAATTAAATAATTAAAATATGCTTTGTTTTCAAAATTTAATAGTTGTTGCAGTTCGAGAACTTATTACTTCATTATTATTTGCAGGAACAATATCAATTCACACAATCCTTGTGCAAATATCTTTCACATTTTTATCTTTTCATTCTATAATAACTGAAGAAAACTTGTTGTAATTTTGAGATTTCACTATTTTTATCATTGTGTGTATCAATCATATTAAGAGAAATAGGAAATTATATGATAATTCTTATACTTTAAAATCATGACAAGTGCAAATATATAAAGAATGTCTAATTTATTATCTTTAAATCTTATTTACAAATTGAATATTCAATGTCATGGTTTATCATAAATGTACTATCTATACATTCTGTTACAATTTATGCACATCCTTTTTATTTATAAATTTAGTATTATACTTTCTCGAAAATATTGGAATTGCCTCAGATTTATTTGACCAATTTTCAATTATTTAAAAATTTGAAAAGTTTATATTTCATAATACAATTTTTATAAGAAAATAAACTTCACTATCAAATCAAAGACCTGGATACCCTCTCATATACTGTATATATATTTTAATTTATGATAAAACTTTAATTAAATTATTTGTATTTATCTTATTTCTAAATATACCTCTAGCATATTTTATACTATGACTTTCATCATCTTTTAAAGTAGTCAGCAAATTTTTCTATTAATTTAATATCTATTTCATACCATTTATTAATAAATTAACTATTTGCTTCTAAACTTTAGCATTTGATCATTCTTCTATTTTCAGTAACCATCAAAAATCATTTCAAACAATTTTTTTATATTGATTGATATTTGTGTCATATTTATATCCTAATTTTCTATACTAAGAATATAAAATATAAAAATAGCATAAAAGACTAAACTATCTGAAAATATTATTAATTACTTTTATTTTCTTTTCTATATTATTGACTATAAAGATATTTAATTACCATTCATTATATTTATATTTCAAAAAATTAAGCCATCCTTTTATTTTATTATTAATTTAAATTGATTTATCAAAAAAGCAATTAGATATATATAATTATTACTAGATATTATATTATAAATATAAAAAAGGTAATATTTATATTTATTTAGACTATATATGTCATCTAAACACAATACTATTGAAGAATTTATAAGTTCTTTCTATTCTTTTTATTTAAAAAGTAAATAAAAACCTAGTTTATCAGATCTATTATAATATTTGAATAAATAATTTTCATCTATAATAAGTAGTTTTTCCTGTCATCTACTAATAATATTAATATATTATTATTAATATAAATAAATGATTTTATCATTTTATATATGATTATATAAATATCATCTCTTATAATTAAAACATTTCTTAGTATTTAAATATATATATTTATATTAAAATTATTATATTTCTTTAGTACTTGATCCTGAAACTTAACTACTCTAAAATATAAAAACTTATATATACTAAAATAATTAAGACCTTTAAATACATATTGTTAAATAAAATGTCAAATATTTTTAAAAAGTGATAATTTATATAAATCTGATAAATAACTAGGATAATAATTATTATATTTGTGATAATAATGTAGAATTACTATAGATAAATTAAAAAAAAGTTTGTATATATGTAATTTTACAATCATTTTTTTTAATTTCTTTTTGTGCTAATTAAGATTTTTTATTTAAATTTTCAATAGCAATACTTTTATATACACTATCCTCTAAAAAGTATCTGGTCAAGCTTTTTTTAAATTTCTTAAGATCGGATATATTAACTAAATAAAATTTTTTTTTAAATAAATCTCCTGGTTCTGACGATTAAGTATATATATTTATATTCGTATGATAATGCGTAGATCAATTTTAATAAACAAAAATGTAAACATTTCTCTTTTTTTAAAACTATGCCGTTTGATATGGGAAAAAGTTGCAAATTAAATGAGTTTGAACGCAGAAAAATAATCAGTTTACGGATAGCTGGAAGAACTCATGAAGCTATTGCTTGTCTTTTAAAGATTCCACAAAGCACTGTTACAGATATAATCAATCAATATGCTAATTCTAGTAATGCTAAAAAATCTTCGTGAACTTGAGGAAATATTGCAAGAAGAATGGAGAAAAATTCCATCTGAAACCTATATTAAACCTATAGAAAACATGCCACATAGAATCAAAGCATGCATTAGAAGCCAAGAATGGCCTACTAAATATTAAATATATTAAATGTTTTATTTATATCAAAAATTTCAAATAAATAAAATATTATTTTGGTTGACCGGATATTTTTTCGAGAGTAGTGTATAATTAAAGAAATAAATATAAAGGTGAATAACTAAAAAATAAATTATTAAATAAAAAATAAATAATAATAAAATAAAAATATAAAGAAACTATTAATTTTAAAAAATAAATATGAAATAATAAATAAATAATAAATAAATTGAAAAAAGAATAAATATCCTTTAAATTATAAGTAAAGTTACTAGATAAAACCTAGAAATTTTGTAAATTATCTAAATGAAAAAAGATAAAATTATATTAAAATCTTATTAAAAATCTGCAAAATTTTAAAAAAAGTAAAATTATATTAAAAATTAAAAAATTAGTAAAACTAAAATTTAAATATTTTACCAAATCTAAAATGAGTTTAAACAAATAATCTTAATTTTAAGTATAAAATTATTTATAAAATATTTTAAAAAACTTAAAATTTTAATATCTAATGATTATAAAATAATAAAATAAAATTTATTAATTTATTATATTAAAATATATTTAATGATAATATTTTTAAATTTTTAAAATTAATAATTATTAATATATATCAATTTTTAATTTTTAATTTTTAAAATAATATAATTATTTAAATTAAAATTTAGTATATTAGATTCATCTTATTAAGATTTATTAAATAATAGTATTTTATATTTTTAGATTAATAGATAGCAACATATATGAATATAAAATTTTAATTTTTTTTAATAATATTTATTATTTATTCATTTTTAAAAATTACTAATTAATTATATTTATTTTTAAATTTTATTAAAAAAATATTATATAAATTTATTATATAAGTATTAATTTTTTAATAACATTTTAAAATATTTAAAAATAATTAAAAATAATTTTAATTTATAAATAAAATTATTTATTATTAATGTTGAAAATTTGCCCTAAAAAAATGATTTACAAAAGTCATTGAATTTAATTTTATGTAGATTATATTAAGAAAGATCTTGATCAACATACTGTATTAGAAAATCAAACTGATTTATTTAATTTGTAGGATTTATAAAATTTACCTGATTTATTTGATTAGCTTATTTTATTAAATTTTTTACATATTTATTATTTTTTTTATAATTATTATTTTTATTATTTCTTTTATTTTTATCATTGTTATAATTTATCATATATTTTATATTTTATTTTATTATCTTTATTATTATTTTATAGTTAAAATTTACTAAAATA